TTTAAATAAAATACTGAACGGTTTAAAACGCGAAATATAAGCGTAGTTGCTGCAAACTGTCCGAAACCTCGGTCCGTAGTTAAAATGAGTCGACTAATACAATTGGCGTTTTAAACCGTTAAAAGTGTTTTATTTAAATTAAATAATTAATGTATTAATTTTACATTACTCTGTGTTGATGTGGTAAAAAACAAAGGATTCCATTATATGTATATATGAATGTTAACGTGACTTTTTTATATTTTGGAATGACCAGGGAATAATTTTGCACGAATGGCTTTAATTATCAGTATAAAAGTACTATCATTCTTGTGGGAAAATACAATATTCGTTTATTGCGCTATCGTACAAAATGTGACAATTTAGTAGTGTGCGTGATGACGTAGATTGTAGATGCGTGTATGTCATTATGTAAGAGTGTGTAATAGTCGGAATTTTATACATTTGCTTATAGCAAATTACTCTTTAGGTAACTTATTTTAACATGGGCATTAAGTTTTTAATTTTAAGTTAAAACTGTTTTATTCTTGTAGAGATGATTCTTAAGCTCTTTATATTGTCCAATACCCCCAAATGTCTCTAGAGCAAGCAAATAAGTCGATTAGACCTTTGCTTTAAAATTGAAAATATTATTTTCCCCTGGTATCCGAACCTAGAATCACGTGCTTTGCAAAATATTAGCTAATGTATTTAGCCACTAAGACACGTGGAGCCTTGCTTTTTAAAATTATAAGAAACCTTTAAAAATAAATCACTCAGGATTAAATAGATTTTTCTCAACTTATACATATTTCATGTAAACATCGAAACTGTAGGTAACAGATGCGAACAAATTTTCACTTCATTGACTTAGATTTCCGTTTTACGTACTAGAGCTGAGCGTAAAGTATCGATAAAATATTTATTTAAATATTGCTTCCAACTGCTGCTAGAAAATTATAAGGACTATTCAGAAAACAGTAGTTTTCCGATCGCTTTGTTCACTTTAAATCTTTAAAGTTTATTTTCTTAATTTCAAAAGCTTGAATTTTTTAAATTGTTCTTTCTATCTTGAATGATAATTTGTAATGTTTGTATTTATTAATATTATTATTTACATTTTAAACTTTATTCGCCTAATTTAAGCCTACACAAATAAACTTTCTTCTAAGTTTCAAATTGTATAATCTACTGTAATCAAACTAATAGAAAATAACATCAACAACAGTATGAATATTCTATGGATACCCAAATTTCACATCACTATGTCTTTATCGTATCAGATTAGAAAAGGTCCGGGTCAGGTCTTCGCTTTATTTTGCACCGTTAATCAAAATCGCCCAAAATAAATCCATCGATAAATCTTTACGAGCGAACAAACATCACTACCTTGTGCTTATATTTTGTTAAGAAACTACGAAGGTTTTTGGTTTTAATCTTGAAATGTATTGTGGATTTATTTCTGTATTTTATGGTTTGCAGTACTCTTATATTAAAACAAAAGCCAAGTATATTTCGTTTCGTAACCCTTAACCCTGTAAACGTTGTTTTTAAATACTGTCTATAGGTTACGCGAGTATTTAAATAAAACACTTTAAAATGGATAGTTAATAAACATTTTAAAGTAAAACACTTTAACAGTTTAAAACGCGAAATATAACCAAGGCAAAGCATCCGTAACGTCGGGCCCTGGTTAAAAATTATTTTCAAACAAGTTTAACTAAAATCTATCTCGTTTTAAACCGTTAAAGTGTTTTTATTAAAACATCGTTTTTACGTGTTTATTATAAAATTCTCAGTGAACACAACTTTTATAAATATCGATCCAGTAGTTTTACAAAAAAAATTAGCACGAGAATGATCTCAAAAAAAAAACCTTTTAGCAAAAAATGACCTACTTATATAAATACTTTACTATAAATAATAAAGCAATAATAAATAAATAAAAAACAGTGAAACAAAAAGGAAAAAATAATTTACTTCGAGTAATACGTATGTTGATTTAGATAAATAGGCATGATGTTAAAATATGTTTATCATATAATTTTGATGACTTACAATCTTACTATAATATCAAATAAATATATCACAGCAATTGAAAAAACAGACACAGAATTAATAAAATATCTGAACTTACTTCTGCCACAATCATAGTACCTTTAAAATAATAAAAAAACTCAAGAAAGTATTTTAAATAACAAACAAAAAAATATATATATAGAAGTGGATTTGGGAAACTACTTTTTTATTTCTTTTTTATTTATTTATTATCATTAAAAATCAGTAAAAACTTAATTAAATTAAAACTTTCATTATTTGTTAAGTCAATTTCATTTCAAATAATGTCAACTTCGATGTTTCTGACGATTGATATACGAGGTCTTTTATATGCGATAAGTGTTGAGAATCTTTAAGAGCTCCAGACTCTAATGATTCTGTCACTAAAACTATAACAAATGGTTCTTGCTTTTCCCGGATATACAGCATGTAGAACACACAGTGGGACATTTACAATGTTTTCGATACAATAGGTGCATTTTGAATTAAATCTACAATCAAATGTCTGAAAACACATCATATAAATATATTATTTTATTTAAAATATTAATATTTTATCGATAAGCTTTACTGAAATTCAGATAAATGTCTAGTTATGTCATTGTATAAATGTATACGATGCAAAAACAACTGAAAAATATCCTTCCTCTCTCCAATTTTTATTAATTTATTTTTTTATTAATTTATGTGGATTATTATATTAATAACGTACGTTTACTTTTTGGTATTTCGTTACTGATTTCTTCTAGAGCTTTAAACTGTGGGACAGCACATACATCACCAGGTATCATGTTTTAAAAGCACAAAATAACGTTTAATTTCCGTTCACAATGAAGGTACATTTATCATGACTGAGCTGACATATATTTTGCTAACTACTTTAATATTTTCACTGTCTCGTTGGTCCAATAGTAATGTATTGCTGATACTCAACGGGTCGTGGTTTTGATTCCAACCAAGTTAAAAATGATGTCTAAACCCCAAGAAGCGTAATATATATCGCGTTTTAAACAGTAAGTTTTTTTTTTAAATGTGTACTACTCGCGTAAACGAGAGACAGTATTCAGACCCGAGAAGCTTGGCGAAATGGATGCGAAAACTGTAAGACTTAGTCAGAAAAAACTAGTCACTATCAAATACTGTCTATAGTTTACGCGAGTAGTACACATTTAAATAAAACACTTTAACAGCTTTACAGCAGCCGTCTCCCCGTGACCACGGTTGCTGCAAAGCATTTGAAACGTCGGGCCGAAGTTAAAAATCATTTTCAAAAAAAGTTTTAACTAATATATCGCTTTTTAAACCGTTAAAGTGTTTTATTTAAATAGACACTATCAAATTAATATCAAAACTCCACCAAAAAAAGGAACCAAAATCCCTAAAAGAAAAAGCAGTGAAGTCGGCGTGTCGCTTTCAGTCCCTGGATTTCAAAGGAAGCAGACACTAATCAACGGACTAACGTATTTCCCTTACCATCAAGTCTATGTCTGTCCTTATCTCGTCCACCTATACTTTTAACCAAGATACAGAAATACATAAATATGTTAATTTTAATCTTTTATCACAGGCAATTTATGTATTATATTTTTGATAGGATTTTATTTCATATTACATTAACTCTATTAAGTGGAAAAGTATATCCATAATTTAAATTTTAGCCAGCTAGCAATAAAGTAAAATTTATCTATTCATCTAAACTTTGAATTAGAAAGCGTTTAAATTGTATTGTGCTGATGTTACAAGTTTGTCGGTTTGTTTAAACCTTCTTGTTTACAAATCGTTATCTTGTGTTGACTGAGGCTGTAGGTTGAGGTAAACCTTTAATTGAATTAAAATGGGGTTTAACGTGGTCTTAAAATAAGATAATACTTGTCTTATATTTAAATATTAAGGTTATTTTTCATGATAGAGGGGACCAGACAAACATGGAGGTCACTTGATATAGGATGTTTTACCTACATCTCACTTGCTGATCTCCCTTACATTACTCCCGATACAACGTCAAGATACCTATTTAGTTATCTTGACGATTTAAATTAAACACTTTAACGGTTTAAACCGCGATATATTGGTTAAACTTATTTGAAAATGATTTTTAACTTTGGCCCGGCGTTTCGGATGCTTTGCAGCAGCCGTGGTCACGGGGAGACGGCTGCTGTAAAGCTGTTAAAGAGTTTTATTTAAATGTGTACTATTCGCGTAAACTACAGATAGTATCCTATAACATCTGAAGCAGATACGCTGTTTACCTATTTTGGATTATCATAAGTCCACAGACTGTAATCGAAACGAAACCACACTTCACGGCCTTTTCATCTGTGGATGGTGGTTCGTGACGAGGACGGGACTTCGTTATTCCTACCTCCCTTTTTATTACTAGATTTCTAGACGATCTCCAATATGTTTTGGAAAGTTATAAATTGATCTTGTTGGATACGGTCATGACTAAACCCACGTTTCTTTAATTTTTGCCTTATTTCTTTGCGGTGCGAGTTTTTTCAGTAAATAATTTAGACGAAATATTTTGTCATATATATGCAGAAAATAGAATAGATTTATTCGGTACAAATATATAGAGCAACTGTGGTCTAACTCCGAGTGAGTCTTACATATGTTTATTAATTTGGGTCAAACAATCCAAAACTGAAAAGAGAATATCTGATACTTAAGTTTTGATTAAGATATAATATGGAGGTTGTGAATACAAACAATGATTAAATATAGCGACTAATGCGATTTGCAAGTAGGCACAATTTTTTTAATAAAAGCTAAATAAAATAAAAGCCGTGGTCACGGCTGCTGCAAAGCATCCGAAACGTCGGGCTGAAGTTAAAAATCATTTTCAAATAAGTTTAACTAATATATCGCGTTTTAAACCGTGAAAGTGTTTTATTTAAATGTGTACTACTCGCGTAAACTATAGACAGTATTTAAAAGCTAAATACATAATGTTTCTGTTACAGCACAAACAATCACTGAACAGTCAATAGTGAAGCATGTTCTACCGCTGACAGTGACACGGACGGAGTTGGGCGGAGAGCTTGTCTGCAATGTATCGTCTGCCGCCCTGGATACTCCCATCATTCGATCACTTAAGCTGGATGTTAGAGGTAAAAAATAAAAAATGAAATATACCCCAGCTGGTTACTTTAACCAAAACCAAATATAGGGTAAGCTTGTTTCACGTGGGTTCGAATCCTGCTTGTCATAATCTTGATATTTGAAATGCGGATAGTCATTAAGTCCACGTGGTACCTACATCTGTCGTCGAAGAATATTTTATCAGAAAAGAAGGCAATTTTCCCCGAAAGCTAAGTATTATGAAATGACACAAATCTTCCCACATCCACCCCAAGAAGAGATTTCCATACAATTATGATAATCCGACAAAAAATAAGGATGAAGTTAATTCCGAGTTATTGCTACTAAATCATATTAAAATTTGAGTCGGGCGGGAAAAGGGCTGCCACCTTATCAATTATATAAATTCACTAAGTATTGCTAAGTCCACATTAACAAAAACATTATTAACATCTAACGCAAGATTTATTAGTCTCAACAAGTAACGTGGTCTCAAAATTAACATTACAGCTAATATATTTCGCGTTTTAAACCGTTTAAAGTGTTTATTTAAGTATTCACTTAAGAAATTATTTTACGTAGTTCACCTGTATGTAACATTTGTGTTACATCTAGATTTTTCTTTTTAATACGTAAAGTTTATGTAAAGTTAAAATTTAACTTAAATATGGAGCTCGTCTTGAGATAATTAATTCTATATTGTATACTGCCTGTAGTTTACGCGAGTAGTACAGATTTAAATAAAACACTTTAACGGTTTAAAACGCGATATATTTTAGTTAAACTTGCCAAATACCAACTTCGACGGAACAGATGGCGCTAGCGTAGCAGATATTTGCTTTGACGTCAGAGACATCCTCCGTCTTTAGTCTTCCCGTGACCGCGGCTGCTGCTGTTTACAATTTATTTTACCTATGGCCCGACGATTCGGTTGCTTTTTTGCAGCCATTATCACGGGGACTCCGTCGGGCCAATTAAAATATAATGTAAATAATTTTATTTGAATATATCCTACTCAGTTCTCCTGTAAAAGTATTTTCTGTATTTAAACAGAACACTGCAATGGTTTAAAACGCGATTTATATTAGTTGAACTTATTTTATTATCGAACTAATATAAATCGCGTTTTAAACGGTTGAAGTGCTTTATTTAAATGTGTACTGCTCGCGTAAACTACAGGCAGTATTTAATGTCTATATATTACTTAATTTCTTCATTTATAAATTGTCACCTTGTATTGTTTTGATAATATGACTTTGGTTCTTGTGTTGTTTGTGTTCTTCTCTCTTTTATAGTACGAAGTATTATACCGTACAACGTGTTAGCGTATAACGAATAACATCATTACAAGATCAAAGTGTCTGACTACCGTCAACAAACTCGAGCATTTCCGGAGTTTAATTTTGAAGAAATAAATTTTCATTAGGAAAGCGCGATATCGCGAAATTAATGAGAATAATTATCCTGGACGTCTCTGGGTAGGGGAGGGAAATTGTTGATACCTGGAAAATTTTATTTACGGAGAGGTTTTATTCAAATTTTCTCTACCGGTTTATTTACAGGGTTTTTTGGCAATGTGTTTCGTAAGTCATCAAACTATTGTGGTTTTACCTCGTCCCAAGCTATTTGAGTTTTTCGAGCTGTTTGTTGTAATTGTGAAATTTTCAATGTGGATGACTAGTTTTTCAAAATGGCCGCGAAAGCCTTATACAATTTATAATATAATAGTGAAGGTTTGTTTCAAACTGTTAATGTTCCACAGCTAGGCAAATCATTCTCGTGTAGTTTAGGAACCTAGAACCACCAACTGCTTGGATGGATTTCTTTAGATCGGCACTCCGAGGCATAGCAAGAAAGTACTGAAAAAATTCTAATCTCATTCTTTAATAACTTGCGATTTCTAATATAAATGTCACCTTGATGTTCGACTGGCTCGTTGGTATAATGTTATCAATATGTGGCTAATAATCAAAGGGTGGTGGGTTCGACCACCACCGGGTTATTTTTTCTAAACAATTTGTAATTTTTATGAAACATGTTGGACGAAGTCTAGAAATCTGTCTATTAAATTGATGGTAGGGATATCGAAATTCCCAATTCCATGAAGTTCAATCACGTTTCGGTTACAGTCCGAGGATTTCCGAATATCCAAAGCCATAATAGGTCGACAGCGCACAATGTTCAGACGTTATATGGCTGGGGTATCATCGAGTGAACTCCGTGCTTGTCAGTCCTTTACCAGAGTCAACGTACTTTTTCAAAGCGTATAAGAAATTGTACTTTTTAAATCACTTCGCTTAAATGTCCGCAAAATTACAGTACTGTTGTAAATAATTTTACCTCTAAAAGCCTGTTGGTAATCCTCTTTAAGCTCGGCATTAAGTTTTCATTCTTTTCGAAAGCTTCCAGATTCCTAGGTGTTAAAATCTTAGCTTAACCAGATTTAGGAGCAGAAAATGTGTCCAATTAAACTGTTTTATCTAAAAAATCTAATCTACTGTGTCGTTTAATACGAATAATTTAATTTAAATCGCCATTTATTATTTCTCTTTCTTAATGGTTCTAAAACAAATGATTTTTATACTAAGTAATTGAATAGGACCTGACCACTTCTATAGCCAAAGGGTTAATGTGTTGCCTAGCATTACGTCGTGGCTTCGAATCCCGGGGAAACAGGAAAAATGTTTCTGTCACTTTCCTAATCGGTTCTTTAGCTACTTGCTAAAGAACCGATTAGGAAAGTGGACACAGAAATGTGTGCCACAAGACCCCGGGTAAACTGCTCTGTAAACTAATTATAGCTTCGGATTTGGATTAGCACAGACTGAAGCCGAAACGCGATTAAACTTCATGGCTTTTCTATCTGTAGACGTTGGTTTGTGACACGGACGAAATTTCAATATTCTTAAGACCTATTTAATATTTATATTTCCAGACGAACTCCAACATGTTTCAGAAAGTTATAAATTGATCAGAAATATGTTTCACCCGATGGGGAAAGAACCCAGGCCCCGTTGGTTATTGATTGAGGCCCAATGATTAATTGGACTAACTAGCCAGTCATGTCTTTGATAGATCAGTTATGACAGAACTATTGTCTTATTGATAAGAAAGAACTGTTCATTATATGAACGTTAACACACAGTAATTCATTTATCACTTGAGTATGCGGTGTCCGACGTCACCGCGTTCTATCGACCTCTCGATATTGCTAGGTGGTAAAATTTCCGACCCTTATTACTACTAGTGATGCGCCAAACTTTACGATGGAAATAACTTAAACAAATAACAAACATTTTAATTAAACTTCTACTGTCTGCAGTTAATGCGAGTAGAACACATTAAATAAAACACTTTAACTGTTTTAAACGTGCTATATATTAGTTCAATTTATTTGAAAATTGTTTCACTATGTTCCGATGTTTCGGAAGTCTCGCCGTGACCACATCTGCTGCGAAACGTCGAACAGTAGTTAAAATAGTTTTTTAATAAATTTAACTGATATATATATCGTGTTTTATCAGTTAAATGTGTTTTATTTAAATATATATAATATCTTAAACCTTAGGAAGACCTTAAATCAAACTATCCGAAACGTCGGATCATAGTTAGTAAGTCGACTAATATTTCACGCTCCATCAGTTAAATTTGTTTTATTTGAATATGTATACTATCTTGGAAGGAGCTTCATGTAATGTATCTGAAACGTCGGGTCGTAGTAGCCGTAAATATTTAATTTTACAAGTTAATAATATTTTTATTAAAATTTACTCGCGTAAACTACAGACAATACGTAACACAAAGTTACGTAATACATTTCCCTGAGTATTTTATTATTAAGAGTTAAGATTTTTTACATGCTTTCGCGTAATTTTTCTCCACGCTATAATCCGCCGTCGCTAAGTATGTTAGATGACGTCATATTATTCACTGTAATCCGTTTTTCTCGCGACTAAGTGTTACTACTGTAAAAGTTGGGCGTTTTTATATTTATGTGTAATGAGTTTTACTCCGGTCTTTCTCTCTTCGATTTATCTTTATGCATTACTATTAACTGAAACTTAGAAGAGAGATTCTTTCAATTCAACGGTAAATCTATTTATGAATCTAGAGCTTGTTTGCTTGAACGCGCTAATCTCAGAAACTACTTAATGTAAATTAAACACTTTAACGGTTTAAAACGCGAAATATTAGTTTAAGTATTATCATTTTAATTTAACTGCTGTAATGCATCCTAAACCTTTCCAAACTGAAGTATCAACTGTGGCGTTAAAGTGTTTTATTTAAATGTGTACTACTCGCGTAAACTATAGACAGTATTTAACTACTTAATTTTATCATCTTTATTGATTTCCAATGCGTACTTAGCAAAAACTGTTGAAGGTATCGACTAAATATTTAGGAAAAAAAAATATTTTTTTAATAATAACAAATTGTCCTCGACCTCGTTGGTACATTGAAAGCAATATAGGGCTAATAATCAATGGGTTGTTAGTTTGCACCGGGTCCTACAATTTTCCTAATCATCAAACATTTAAATAAAACACTTTAACGGTTTAAAACGCGATATATTAATTAAACTTATTTGAAAATGATTTTTAACTTCGGCCCGACGTTTCGGATGCTTCGCAGCAGCCGTGGTCACGGGGAGGGGTCAAATAAGTTTAACTTATATATCGCGTTTTAAACCGTTAAAGTGTTTTATTTAAATGTGTACTAATCGCGTAAACTATAGACAGTATTCAATCCGGGTCACTAACCACCGTCCACACATGAAAAAGCCACGAAGTTTATTCGTGTTTTGGTTACAGTCTGTATTCCGAATATCCAAAATAGGCTGACAGCGCATCTTGTTTAGATGTTATATGCTATAGCTGGGGGGGTATTTCAATGACCATCAAGTGAAACGGATGCTTGTCCCCCTCTATTATACGAAACATCTGTCTGGGTCGCTGCACCTACAGAGTAGCAGGATGGGTTGTTATATGCGTTTTCATGATTATTCTACATTTTCAAATGCCTATTTTTGGCACATAATTTTATCGACAAATGAGGCACATCACTAGCAGCACTATCTTGCCACTTATTAGCTAGAGTCTCGCAATTTATCGGGCGGGCTCGGAAAATTGCTCGGAGTACAGCACTCACTTAAGTGATAGCTTAATGCTTGTTATGTAAAATATGGCGTGTCTAAACCAGGGCGGGATTTTGTACTAGAAAGTACGTTGGTTTTAATATAAACGAGTTACATTATGAAAAACAAACGTCCAGTCTTTGAATAGTGCAAACGTGAGTTTGGACTATTAAAAGTCTCTCAGATCTAATCAACCCGTAAATAAAATCAGCGTAAATAATACAGAAATTGTCCCATGCACTATTGCCCCAAAGTACGTGCCTTCACTTTTATGTAGGTACGTTTTTTTCATTTTTCACTTTCTTGTTAAGTGAATGTATTTAAGTTATAATGTAAAACCCTAAAATAATACTTTAGTGACAATACATTGAATATTTTGAATTAAAAATATGTTGGCATATGTCTAAATTAGTTGGTAAGTACAGAACAGCTGATCAGTTTTCAGTAATTCATCTTCTAGAATATTCCTTAACGAAAGGAATTACGCGGTAAAAAACTGTCAACAATTGCCTAAACGTCTTAAAACATTACTTCCATTTGAGGGGTTCGTTAGAACACTTAAGCGCCAATTCAAACTTTAATACCAAATCATAAAGTTCGAGTATTAGCGGAGAGGTTCTGAGAAGTCAAAACTATTAAGTAAAGCTAGAATCGTATAAAATATCAATATTTGTCAAAAAACAAACTTAGAATAAAGAAATAATACATAAGTAGGTAACACAGTAAAATGGATAATTATAATTTTCATGGCGATTTTATTAAAAAAATCGATTATTAGATGGTGCGTAAAAAATACAATAAAAGTCCTCTTCAATAGCTAATATTTAAGTAAAAGACTTGCCAGATTCATGAACGTTTTGATATAAAATACCGGTTACACCAGTGCCAACCGGTTATACTATCTAGCTTCAAGACAATTAATCAAACTTGCACACGTCTCGATGTTTGTTTTGCATAACTACCCTCAAAGTGCTCAAGACTGAGTTCACTCGTTCGTTACCTACCCGTAATCAATATTGGACGTTGCAATCAAAGCTTACTTGTAAATAAAACGGCTTATGCAATATATTACTGGTAAGGACTTAAATAAGTATAGTGTATTTTTTCTAACTTGGCAAAACACTACAACGAATAATATGGCCGATTCAAAGAGCAAAAGTGATGCTTGTTTATAGAGTGAAGTTCTTGCCACAGATGAAAAAGGGATAAAGAAATGTTCATAATATATGGATCAAATGATATCAATTTTCAAATTAACTTTTATGACGACTTATTTTTTTTTACTTTTTCAAGTCATTATTATTTAACTAATTGTTTGTGTTTTCGGCGGTCATGCATGAGTTAGACTTCTATCTTCTATTGTCGTTGACTTTGTTTATAACCCATCCTTATGTAAATATCATACTAAAAAAAAAATAATCTGTGCATTTAGGTAAATTAATTTTTAGGGTTTTAATAATTTTAGCATAACATTGTGATTTTTACTAAGTGAATTTGAAGTAAATCATTACTTGAATAAATAATCCAGTGTCTTAACGTGTTTTTTTTTTTTGGGTAAATCAATGTACACTTTGTGAGAATATCACAATTTTATGAAAATCGTGTGTTTGTTTACCAAAAATGCTATGTTAGAAAAAAATCATTATACAGTTTTCACTGAGCAAGTTAAAATATCTTATTTCTATTTAGTCCATAACTGTAGTTTTCGAATTGATACAAAGATGAGGGAGAGATGTGACCGATATTAGAAAATCCTTATTCGCCCCAATATAAGTTAATAGGAAATTATTTCCCCATAACTCCAACTAGTAACTTATCAAAGTAACTTGTGAAATGAGTAATTACTTATCGACACATAGAAGATTTTCCTGCTACAGTCGTTTTGTCGAATTCCTATTTATTTCGCGTCAAAGAAATCCATTTCTTCTCAGTTTCCTATGAGCAAGACGTTTCCGAGTATTAAATTATAAATGATGTGTCTTCTTGAACCCTTTTGTATTTCTTGTGTCTCTTTAATTGTAGATACAGTAAGCAAGTTATAATATCCTATAAATATAAGAGACGATACGAAATTAACAAATACAGTTTTTCACATTATTCCATTTTATATTATTATAATCAACTCATTTAACATCTTGTTTTTTTAAATATCAACTTAAGTTGCTATTTAAAAAAACAAGCCTACCGCTTTTATATAAATTACCTGAAGAACCGATAAAGATATCTCTTATGCTTAAAGTTTAGCTGTAATTAGGTTTGGAGGACCCAGCGGTTGGTTTAATAATAATTCGACCAATAGGTAGTTCCAATAATGCCGCTAGATGGCGGTAATTGCAATCGCTTTAAATCGTAATGAAAAAAATCTCCTGATTAAAAAAAAATATATATATATATATGAATTCAATAAACTGTTGATATAACTGCTCATTTTAATTTATTATTTAAAAGGATTATGTTTTTTTTTAAATTCCTCTTTAAAAGTAAGCATTAAGAAGGGGAACGTCAAATTGAATATTGTTAAAATAATTATTTGTAGATATATTTTGTTTTTCTAAACAAAACGGTTACTAGATTACTATCTTTATGCAAAAATGTTGTTGTTGAATTATTTGAATTGTGTGCACAATAACTGGCAATACTTAATTTTGTTTATCAAAGTTAATTTCGTGTGTTCTGCTATTTTTATTATGTTTGTGTTTTTCTTGATACTCTTGTGAAATAAATTACTTCCTATTAATATTTTATTTGCTATTCTTAATTTAAAAATACTTTTTTTTGTTTTTGTATGTAGTTTTTGCAGGATTTCCCTTACTATTCTTCTCGTGTTTGATGTCAAAATACAATGATTAATCATTGGAATAAAACAATCAAACTTTGCGGTCTCATGTCAAGAGCCGTGGAAATTCAATAGCTCTTCCGAACTATGATGAGATCCTAAAAACTATTGGGTTCGATCTCAGGGGGACACTCACTTCCTAACTTATTCACATAACGCTGAGTTTGCTAATAAAACATTTTGCGATGCGCCGGGGACTTGTCGGAAACAGGTGCTGATTTTTACGAACTGATTCATCTGCAGTTCTCAAGTTACCTAATAACTATTTACCGGCTGTTTGGTAGCAATGTATGTCCAATAATCAATAAGTCGTAAGTTCGATGCCCACTGATCTCAACGTAAAAAAAAGTTGATTAGAATCATTTTTTTTTAAACACGTTGGACTTCATTTGGTTATTAAATGTAAATAATACATTATACATTTATATAACGTAGTTAAATAAACAGATATATATTTTGCAATTTAGACAGTTAAAAGCGTTTAAATAAATTAACGATATTTCTTAGTAAAACTTATTGTCATTGAGTCACGTAATATATCGCGTTTTAAACCGTTTAAATGTTTTTATTTAAATTTAAATGGATTTGCCATAAGCTGCAACCTATAGATCGACCAAAAGTTCGCCAATTCTTTATACATTTTCAGTGCCGCCAAACAAAATCGCCATATCTGGTGTCGGCGAGCATGTCACCCAGGGTACGCTGCTGACGCTCATGTGTGTGGTGTCCGGAGCAAGACCAGCAGCTACCATCGAGTGGTACAACGGCACTGATCTGTTGACGACGGAAACGCAAAATATACAGGTATGTCATCGCATTATTACATATTCAAAGATAATACAAGTATTTGTTATATGATATTACATCACCAGGATTGAAGATTTACCACAGCCATTTAAAATAGATGCATAAATGAATGAATGAATTTTAGTATTCGATCTTTAATATACGTTAGGATAAGGTTAAGTTGGTTTTTTGTTTATAGGGTTTAAAACAATTTATGTTTTAGATAATAATCTACGGAATATTTATGATTATAATAATAGTATCCATGTATATATTCTAGTACTTTTCATTTATTTTTTTTCTCTGAAATACAATCGGCAATCGATTTTTAATTTATATATTGCTGTCGTGTGAAAATATAAAAATTTTCAAACATAAGACACTACTTATATTTATTACAACACTATAAAACAATAATTACGTTTAAAGCCGTTTCATCATCTTCAGTGAGAGATCCCACAATTAGGAGACGGACCTTCTACGAAAGTATTTTGCGACCATTTTGTTTTTCCTTTCAAAACTGTCACATTGATATTCATAAAGGCGCAATTAGAAGTTTTAACAGAATTACTAGTACTTCACCAAAATAAATCTAATTAATTTCGTTGGAGTCGTCGAGGGAACAAATATTTGAACTGAAACAATTATGTTTAAATCAATTTATTTAATTGAGAGCTTTTTCAAACATTTTATGATATATTAGAAAAATGCAATTCGAGTAGATTCATTAAAAATCAAATGGATTTTTTGTTGATTTTTTTCCAATCGGGGAAAGCATGTTTCTTTTCATTGGTAAGCCCCTATCTAAATACTGTCTATAGTTTACGCGAGTAGTACACATTTAAATAAAACCCTTTAACGGTTTAAAACTTGATATATTAGTTAAACTTATTTGAAAATGATTTTTAACTGACGGCCCGACGTTTCGGATGCTTTGCAGCAGCCGTAGTCACGGGGTGTCTCCCCGTTTTCGCATATTAAACCGTTAAAGTGTTTTACTTAAAAGCCCTTGTTTGGTGAACTGTTAATTATGGGTTTTCCAGGAATACAACCTATGAGGCATGTTTATCGTCTGTTTGTGTTATACTTTTTATTATACCATATAAGTGTGCAGTTTCGTTTTGAATTATTGTAATTTAGTATGCTCGGTTTAGTAAGAACACTTTTATCTAACTTAGTAAGAAGTGAAAATTGGTAAAAAGGTCATATCTGTATATGCACTAGTATTGTCTGTAATCTACGCATACACAATAAATATAACAATTTAATACATTTGGTAACTTGTTCGTAATTATGGCCCGACGATGCATTACGCCGCGCTCAAAGAAAAAATGTATTCATGTACCATAAAAAGTTCGATATCTAAAAATTTTTTTTTTTCATCCGGGTCTCGAGCTACCATCCACAGATGAAAAAGCCGTGAAGTTTAAACATGTTTCGGTTTTAAAGGTATCAAAGCCATTTCAGATGCTTTAGGGGTCAATCAAGTGAATGGCATGCTTACTGTCCTGCTCTATCATAAAAAATCTCTATCATACAAACTTCCTTCATAAATCATTTTATCACTATCTTGAAGTAAAATTTTCCTTGTTAGCTAAATAAACTCTAAAAAAATATTGGTTTTAACAGTTGTATTAACTGTTATATTTTTAGAACTTTCGAGTATGACGGGAAAGTAGTCTGCGCGAATTGAGCTGGTCTTCACCTGCTGTGAACAGAAGTAGCCGAAGAGTAGAGATTGATATAGTTTTATTTTAAATGAAAAAAGCCACAGCATATTATATTATATATAATATTTCAATTGATTTCTTTCACCCTATTTAATTTCTACTGCTGGCTCAAGTTTTCTTTTGTTCTCTTCTGGTGGTAGGTTATCGAAATTCTGTCGTCAAGTTTAATAGCGTTTCGGTGTCAGGCCGAGTCCAAAGTTGAGAGCGTTTAGATGTTACATAGGTAATGATAGGCGAAATACTTCACCTGCCATCAAGTGAATTCCAATCGCTAAAAAACGGTTATAATTGAAAAAAACTTTACTACTCAGGCCAGACTTGAACCGGCATGCAGTGTTCCAACTCGGCTCGGTGGGTGGCTAGTTCAAGTCCCGCCCGAGTCGTAAGTTTTTTTTTCCAATTTACAGTCGATTTTTAATTTATATAGTTCCATGTGCTAAATGAACTATTTTAAATTTTCAAACGACCTTCGTTAACAAACAGCTCTATATCTTTTTGTATTCAATTTCCTTGAAGCCTCAATAAGTCAGATTCAATAAAGTTTTCAAACGAAAACCTCCACTTTCTTAAGTAATTCTTTAGAATCTGGCATACAATCATTGCGAACCTATTCTATTAAAAATTCAGCGTTTCTGCGATCGTCGCCTCAATCTGTTAGTCTTAAAAAAAACGTCGTAACGTTCGTCTTCGTAATTGGTAACGATTCGCCGAAAAAAATAATTAGGTCGTAAAATTCACAAAGGCCGAATAGATAGGAGAGATTTTCGCTACACGAACTTGACGTTGAGCGATGAATGTATAATTTCTTTTGACGCCATTGTTAGGTGGCAAACATCTTTATCCTCAGCAAGCGAACGAACATTCCAACGAATAAAAGTAGAAATATATAAAAAAAGTGTATGTTTTCAATCGCATATATGAGGCTGCTAGACGCAGAATGGCCTAATAACAAAAAGCATAATTTTCGATAAGGAGAAAAATATAAAATGCGCAGTTAACTGAGCCACTGTGCTGTTGTAGATTAACATTTTTAGACTATGAAAATATAAATAACTCAAGTTATAATATTTCAGTTAGGCTACTCTACCTCTAGCGGCTTCATTTAATAATATACCTTTATTTTCTTTTATAACTAAAAATTACAATATTTCCAGTTCAATTACTCCTGTAAAGAACACTGGTTTATGGACATATTTTTCTGTCCGTTTCTAATAAAGATGAGACGTTGATCAGACTTCTGAGGTACTGTAAAAAACAATGATATGGGATATATAATAGTTTTTTTACAGAGCTTCGAACTCAGGCCCTCTTGCGAATCGTGGTTCGTGACTTCGACAGAATTTCAATATTTCTACAACCCATTTTATTACCCAGATTAATAGACGACGTCCAACATTTTCCAGAAAACATATAAAAAGATTAAATTTATGTTAGAACTGGTGCTGATTCACTTCATGGTAGTTAAAATAGCCATATAACATCTAAACAAGATGCGGATTAGAAGCCATACATTCCGTTACACTCACGAGCAAAAGTGTGCTAAAAATCTCCGAGCTACTACTATATAAAATGTTTTTTTATAAAAGTAATCCTTCGTGCAAAGTTAACCAACAGTTAAACCATAGCTCGTCAAAATATTTCTAAAGACTCTAACAAGTTTGAGCACGGAGTTAGCACGCTTTGAAAAAGTTGCGTACGTTAAAGAGAGAGAGACTTTGTGCCTTCGGTCTGAATTGTTAAGGCTGTAGACTCATAGCAACGCTATTAACAGTAAATATAGTTTACTATTAGACTATATTCAGTGGTCTGTGTTTATATTTCGTTAATATTATAAACTTTAAGAGGTTTTTTGTTTGTTTGTACGCGCTAATCTCAGGAACTTCTGATGTTTTAAAGCCTAAAACTCTCTATCGTTTTCGGCTATAAAACACCCACCTGCGACTAATACATAAACATGGCAAACGAACAAACTCTTCAGCGTTAAATTAATTTAAATGTCACGCTGTTTTACGTCAATATTAGAAGTTGTTTGTTTTAATATTTTTTCAGAAATATTGTTACATATTTTTGACTTTAGTTAACGAGTTTTTACAGTATATTTTCGCGCTGTAGCTTTTATTAAATACTATTTATTTCGTTTATATACTTATCTAGTATTTTCCTCTCTTCCTTCCGCACATTAAAGAAACAACTCGGGCAGAACTTGAACCGGCATACACAACATGGCATATCTACCCGAATCGTACATTTTTCCAATGTATAATCGATATTTAATTAATATAGTGCCATCATGAGCAACAACATGTGAAAAATATTAAAGTGTCAATTTGAACACGAGATACGTTTTCTAAAATGATTGATGGCTTATTATATGTCGCGTTTTAAACCGTTAAAAGTATTTTTTCACCTTAACACTCGCGTAAACTATAGACTACTTAGTAGTAATTACGTCACACTAAGTATTTATTTTTTGTGTTAATAAAACAAGTCCTGTGGTGTTTATAATTAATAAAAAATCTATAATACTATTGGGTGCTAAGAATGGTAAATAATTTACTCCACTTACTTTAAAATGCTTTCAGCAGCTCTTCAACCGGCACAGCGTGTAACTTGCAACGGTTTTTGTTAGATTTAGAGAAAATTACCCATCGTCAGTTTTTGCTGTAATAACGCCGAAATGCTTCCCATCTTACTGAATAACAGCAGAATTACCAGTCATTTATGAAACGATGGGATCTTTTTATATATTTCTTATCCCTACATCCTGCCACAATCACGTTCAAAGTGTTATACCACACAAAAGCTTTTCATTAAATAAGTGTTCAAACATATTTGATAGCGTAACTTATGTCTACTTATTCTGTCGAAACGTCGGGCCGAAGTTAACAATCATTTTCATAAAGCTTAACTAATGTATCGCGTTTTAAACCGTTAAAGTGTTTTATTTAAATGTGTACTACTTGCGTAAACTATAAACAGTATGAAGACTATTGTTTTTTTTACGTTTTATTTGTTTATACAAATTTATTTATACGCACGATGGTGCGTTTGGTAACTGGGCGGGAATCAAGACGTTTCTGACATTCTTAATTTTTTGACAATTGACTCCCAAAGATTACAGACTATCTTTTTTTATAACATTGAATGGTCGATTACAGACCATAAATTTTTTAACCGGATCAGACGAACCGATGACTCATTCCCTTAGTAAAATAATAATTATCCTAGTAATATAGCAGCTTAATTGTAATTTGTGTCGCGTAACTATGAGCCAACCGATACCTGACA